CCCCCCCCCACCCCAGGCATGGGGCAGAGCCACAGGGTTTGGGGACGCCGGGACTCACAGAGCGAGGTGCAGCGACACGGGTCATGCTTGTCCAGGTAGTGCTCCAGCGTGTCCCAGCCGCCCCCGACCCGCACCATGACGTGCTCCCGCAGGATCTGCACGGGATGCCGTGTGCCGTGAGGTCCGGAGAGGTGCGTGAGATGCACCCCTTGGACCTCCACCTCTTTTTAAGTAGCCTGGAGGTACCATGCAGAACTGGGCTTGGAGACCCATGGGCTTGCCCTAAGTGCCACCAGGTCTCCCAAAGGACAGCTTCATCCCCGGCTCAGCACCACTGGGGCAGGACGGTCTCAGCTTCCACTGCCACCCCGACAGGAATATTTCATCACCCCAAGGAGAGTGGGGAGCCTTTTGGAAAAACCCCCTCTACTGTCATGTGCTGAGCCCTTTGGGAAGGCCAGGCTTAGGGACGGACCCAGGCAGGGACGGAGCATCCCAGTGTTCCCATTGCTGGGTAAGACCTGGCTCTGGCTTGGCATGGGATGGCAAGTTTTTTCCCACAGACATGGATGGTTACAGCCATGCAAACATGTACTACAGGTCTGAGCTTCCCTGCTTTGGGGATAACAGTAAAAAAACTCCACATTGGCCCTGTTTGGGGATTGTATTATGGAAGAAGATTCGTGGCAGCAGAGCAGGATTCCTGGTGCCTGTGCTCCAAAAACACAGGGTGAAGCAGACTCACCCGGACAAAGATGAGGGTGTCAGAGTCGCCCACACGGTATTTCCCTTCGGATATCTTGATCATGGGGAACTGGACGGGGCAGGTACAGCGGCTCACCAGGTGCTGGACCTGTGGGCAGCAGGGATGGGTCCTCGCCAGAGCTCCTGGGAAAGGTCCTGGGGTGGCCATCCCTATCTCCATCATCTCCACCTCCATCCCCATCCCCATCCCCATCCCCATCTCCATCTCGCTCCATGCCCCTCCGTACCATCTGGTCGAGGTTGTGGAGGTCCCGTGGCTTCCGGGGGGGCCGGGACAAGGGGGTGTCTGCAGGTGGCAGGTCCAGCTCCTGACGGAGCTCCTCCTCAATCTCCTCCTCCATCTGCACCAGAGTCGGGGCGCGCATGCCGAAGCGGGCAGCACGGCGCGCCAGCTCCAGCAGGCACAGCACGAAGTTCTTCTCGTTCTTCCTCAGCACCAGGTCCTCCGTCTCGAACATCAGGACGTCTGGGGCAGGGCAGGGCTGGGCTGAGCCAGGGCAGGCACATGGGGATGGGGACAAAGGGGACGGAGGGGGCACAGGTGGAGTCAAAACCCGCCCAAAGGGATTTTATTCCCTGGAGCCATCCCACTAGGAATATGGTTGGGTCCAATAAGAGTTGGGATAAATTAACAGAGGAAGAGCCTTCCCCTTGGGCATCTACATGCAAAGGCATTGCCATATGTTTCATGGCATCGCAAAGCCACAAAACCCAGTGGCTGGGTGTGCTGAGGATGTGTCACTCCATGCCCTTCCCAGGCATCCACTGGTGGTGTGGACAGGGTGACAGACCCTTTGCTCAGAGCCAGGACTGCTTCTGATGTCCTTACAGCCAGGATCATGCCATGCATGGTAGGGCCATACTGCGGCATTCGTCCTTTCCATTTCCACCCCTCCAGCGCATATTTGCACCCAAGCAAACACGCCCGCCGAGTGGCAGCACCCTGCAAAGCTGCTGCCGAGCCCAGAGGAACTTGTGCAAGAAATCCCAGCTCAAGGACGCATGTGCATGGTGCTGCCCAGCGCTGGGGTGGCACTGGCTTTGGAGGACACAGGGGAAAACTCCTGGGGTGATGCCAGGACCAGCTGGAGGGGAATTGCACACGGGGACACAGGACAGCTGGAGCCTGGTATCTTACCTTTAATATCCATCTCCTTCCTGCACCACTGGATGAAGTTGGAGATATTGTCCCTGGCCTGGAAGGTGCCTGGCTGTGCTGCGAGGTTGCAGGCAACGCCGGTGGTGGGCAGGCGGAGGTGGCGGGCCACGTCGGGGCAGGAGAGGGCGAACTCCTCGGCCACGTGGGTGACGTTGTTGGCGTGGGAGCAGAGCACGGCCCCCGTCTCCAGCACCTCCACAAAAGTGCCCACCTGGATGTCCAGGTCGTACAGCTCCTTCAGCCACTCAGCCAAGTCCTCCTTCATGGCGTAGAGGTACTGCTCGCTGGACTGGTAGGGACGGATGCTCCGCACCACGGTGCCCGGCGGCCCCAACATTTTGCCATAAGACTGGGAGGAGGTCGAGGGAAAGGGGCGATGGAGACATGGGTGATGGGGACGTGGGAAGCTGCCCCGGGCCGTGTCCCCAGCCCACCTCCCCAGCAGCCACACTCACCCGGTGCCGCTTGCTCTCTGCCACCCGGGATGGTGACGCCGTCCTCCCGGTGCTGGGAGCCCTTCTCGGGGTCCAAGGGCTGTAATGCAGCGTGGGGAAAGAAAATCACCCTCCTGGGCAGTGGGTGTTTTGTTTCCTTCCCAAGTGCTGTTCTCTTCTCCTTGGTGACAAGGGACAGGCTGCAAACACTCCCCGTTAACCCTTCAGTGCCTGCTCCTCCTCCGGCAGCCCTGCTCCTTCTTCCCCAGCCACCCCAGCGGTGGATTTTCCCATGGGGTCCCCAGCTCTGGGGCAGGAGGGAGTTAGAGAGCAGCTCATCAGCATCCCAAATTGCTCACAACCCCAAAAGAGGGGGGGATTTCCCCCCTCCCCACCATCTCTGCACCCAACTCCACCACAGGTGGGGTGACCTGGGGGCCCTACAAGATGCATCTTCAGGACTCGGTACCCCTGAGTTGATAGCCCTGATGCAGCCACATTTTTGCCCCCATTTTACAGGCTCAGACATTCTGCTGAGATGCCACCATGTGCCTTTGCAAGCCCAAACATGCTGTGGCGAGGAGCCCACCCGAGCAGGGGAGCCCCAGCATGGGCGACCCTGAGCAGGGCTCCCTCGTCCCTGGGTGGGGTGCCCAGAGGGATGGAGAGAGGCTGAGCTCCGTGCAGGTCTGGTGTGAGGACCTCTGAACACATCATGGGGGTGATGCTTAGACCAGTCCCTCTGCACCCCTCCTCCCCTCCCAACACGCACCCTGGGGCACAGCAACACCAGGAGCTGGAAAGCCAAACCCTCAGATAAGGGCTTCCCAAAGCCGTAGGGACTGGGGCAGAGATCACTTGGAGAGAGCTGGTCCTGACGGTAGTTGGACTTCCAAACTCCTTGTCTCAGCTGGCCCACAGGGTCTCTGTGCAACCTGGAAGTTTCCCAGTGGAGAGAGCCAGAGGAAGAGGAGGAAGAGGCTGAAGAGCTGCAAGAGGTAGAGGGTACCAACAGAGACACCACTGCCATTGCTTGCTCTGTGCTTTCCACCAAGACATGGAGCAAGGGGGTGGTCTGAGAGCCGAGCAGCCCCAAGGAGTCCCAGACCCCCACACTCTGTCCCCTGGCTCCCCCTCCACCAGCTCCTCCCAGCCACAACCCCCAGGGCAGCTTTCCCAAGGAAACATCCCCATGCTGATCCCGAGCATCGCCATGTACTCTCATCATTTCATTTCATCTGGTAAAAATGCTAGTGGCTGCTCATGTTTGGGTGTAAATCCCTACACTTGAACCCAGGCTCATCCCTTGATCTCGCTGTAGGGAACAGAGAGGTCTCATCACCTCCAAAGGTTGGGGCCAGAGAAGGTCACAGCAAGGACCCTGCTCCCTGGAGCCCCCTTCACAGAGCAAATCCACCAATCCTCTCCCTCAAACCTCTTTCTGAAAAAAAAATAAAATAAGCATGAGGGGGTTTTATTTGCATGCCCACCTTTGGGGTTTCTCTGCACTGTGCTCCCTTGCAAACTTCTTCCTGAATTGCCCATGACAGCGAGGTCTTCAGCAAAAGCCGAGCTCCTCCAGGGATGGCGTGACTCCAGGAGCTGGGGCTTTAAGAAAATAACTACACTGGTGAGTGGGCGCTGCTGGGAATGTCGGAGACTCCCTCCCTAACCCAGGGTTGGCAGAGCTGCCCCAGCACCCAGGTACTGCTGCAAAAAGCAAATCTACCAGGCATGTGCTTGCACCTCGGGACTGAAACGGAGCCTCTTGTGAGCTTGGGGGGCTTCTTGCTGTGTCAGGGACCCCATCTTCTCCCTGGTGCCAGCTGCTGATGCTCACTGCAGATCATGGCTGGATCAGCCGGTGTCATTTTGGGGGAGGAAATGCAAGAATCCCAGCTATTCCCCCGGGCTGGGGAATGCATGGCAGGCTGGCCGGAGGAGTCTGTGCCTGGCATGCCCTGCCAGGGAGCCCAGTGGGAGAAAAGGACCCTTGTGACGCAGGATTTTCAGCCACAGCACCCAGTGGGGTCAGCCACATGGCTCAGGGTGCGAGTCCAACTCCCCCAGGCCCCCCCGAAATTGAGGGTGCAGGCCAGTCACCCTGTCTTTGCCAGCAATGCTACGCTCAGCCCCAGCCCTGGCAGCATCACTTGTGACCCCAAGGCATCCCGACAGCGCACAGCCCCAGGAAACACACGGCAGCAAGCAAGGGAGGAAAAGGAAAGCCCCAAAACAGGAGAGGATTTGAGGTTGTCCCATCCTCAGCCTCCAGTCCTACAGCAGAAGGGATGCCTGGCTCTCTCCTAAGGGGTCACGAAAGGGGATAATGATCTGCTGCTTCTCTGCAGAGCCGCAGGTGTGGAATACCCCTGGGGTACAGACAGACTCATAAATCCTCCTGTCTCCAAAAAGTGGTTCATGGAGCAGAAGTCACACTGCTCTTCTGACTCTCCTCAATGCCCAGAGCAGACGTCTGGACAGCAAGACCTCGTCCAGTGCCAGCCTTCCCCATCAACCCCCCATCAATCTCCCCATCACGCTGCAGATCCCATGGCTGGTGGGAGCCGAGGGGGCTGGAGAGACATGGCTCCAGGCAGGAGACGTGAGCGGGGACGGAGGCAAGCCTGACCTCTGCAAACATTGCGACACTGCTGGTGCTGGCCGGCAGGTCCTTCTCCCTGCAGGCAAAACGCTGCCCGCTCAACGGGCAGCACAGGCAGGACGCCCCGGCATGTTGCGGCATGAAGGAAAGCAAACAGGAGCAGCAGGGAAGGTTTCAGGGTGCTCCCTGTCCCATGGGAGGTAAGGACCCACCTTCACACACCGCAATGGGCTGGGGCAGAGGTGGAGACCTGGAGGGTCCCCATCAGCGTGAATTCATCCTCCACACTGGGAAAAAAACCCCAACTATTAACACATCCCAAGGTGTGGAGAAATACTCAGTAATCTGGGACGAAGCAGGGAAGAGCATTTCCATGGTTTTTTCACCATCAGCATCATCCCCATCAGCAAGTTTTTAGTGGGATCCATCCCCCTCATTTGATCCAGCAAGCATGATAGCTGAGGCCAAATTCAGCAATACCCACTCCAGCCCCAAACACACACATGCATCTTAAATGCACCCCTTTCAGGAACCAGGAGATTGGCTTTTAAAAAAAAATATACAAAAGTCTGGCATGAAAACAAGCAGAAATCCCATCACCGCATATCCAGAGGTTCATTTTATTTGCCTTCAGGTCTTCAGGCCCTTGGGACTCCCTGCAAGCAATGTTGCCTTATTATCATTCAATTCAAAATAAGAACGATGCAGCCCCATCTCTTTGGCAACACTGAAAGTCCCCTGAGGTTTTAAGCCCTGAGCAGATGAAGTCCCAGTGTCCGTGTCTGCACAGGAAGGGCTCACTCACAAATATCACGGAAAACGGACAGAACAGCTTGTGTTAGCTCTCTGTCCTGCCAAATCCATGTCTCAGCTGGTATCGGGCAGCGCCAAAAGCCCTCGGGAAGTACCAGCCCTGGCACCCTGCCTGGGGCAAGCCCCGCTCCTGCCTTCTCTGTAGGGAAGGTCTAGGGTGGGTGAGGGTGAGCAGAGGACGCTACGCTGAAGAACAGCTGCTGGCATCGGGAGGGGATCCCGACTCGGCACCCCGACATGGCATCCCGGCACGGCAGGACCAGCCGCAGCCCGGTGCCGAAGCCACCGACGCGAAGAAAGGCACCCAGCGCCGGGGTCCGAGTCCTGGCAGAACCATCAACGAAGCAGCAGCCCACCTGTGTAGAACCCCAGCATGATGAAAATCCCCAAATCTCTCAACTCAAAGGATATTTTAAGAAAGTTGAGCCCTGTCCTGGTCAGCACCCACGGCTGGCATTTTCTGCCACTGCATTCAAGCCCCAGGGACCTGACACTCCCCCACCGGCTGTGGGAGACGATGGCCCTTTGTAGACATGACCGGTGACTCGGGGCACAGGAGCCAGTGGCGTTTCCAGGTGGGGAGCCCTGCTTTGGGAAAGGAATGAGGAATATGCAGCCGAGCTGTCCTTGTGAGCCTGCATGCACAGACATGTCTGTCTGTCCTGCTCACCCTCTCCTCTTCCTCTCCTCCCCCAGTAATTTTTCAATCCAGTTCATCCAACTGCAGCAGAGGGGCACAGGACTTAAAAATATGTTGATCCCGTCTCTTGCAGAGAGACGGAGCAGAGGACAGACACTTTCTCTGCACACAAGAAAGGCTGCCAGGTGAACACAACCCTTATCAGACACTGGAGAACCCAACCAGCCATCCCAACCCCATCAGAAAGCCAAGCTGCAACTCTCCTGCGAGCTGCACAGCGACACGGTCAGCAGCTCAGCTGTACCTCCCCCTCTTCCTTCACCCCAAAGAGGCTCCTACACCAAAACCCTCTGCTTTCTCCCCCAAAATCCCACGGTGTTGGTGTCTGCAGCTGGTGCCGAAGCACCCGCAGGGGATGGGTCTCCTCCTCCAGCTGCCGACCCTCCATTCCTGGGGCAAGAGAGGGGAGAAGGCAGGAGGGGGGGCTTTGTGCACGCAGGGGGGGGCAAAGCTCAACACGGAACCGTATTTTTGTCCAAATGTCTCTTTTCTTTTTGTTTTAACCAGGAAACATTCTCAGTCTCTTATTTAAAACCACCCAAGCCCCAAACCAAGCGACGGTGAGGCACTCCTCTGCCTGATCGCAGGAAAACGACAGCTGAAGTATCAACAAACCCCAGTCCCGGTTTGAAAAAAAAATGTGTAATGATATCCTGAACATTAACAGAAACGGGTGGGTTTGCAGTCTCCATGGCTTAGACCTTTTTTTGTGGTCTTTTTAAAAAAATATTGTCTCCCAAAGCCTCCAGCCCACCTGGCCGGGGCTGACGGCTGCATCCCTGCTGCACCGGGGCATCGCTCCACCGGCCCATGGCTCCAGCCATCCGCAGGCAGCCCTGGCCTGCCAGTCCCGGCCGAACCGTCCTCAGACCGGAATCCAGAGTCAAATAAAGAGGGATCCAGGCAGCGGTGGGCGAGTTGGGGTTCAGCCCCCCATTTCATCCCAGTACGCTCTGCTCAGAAGAGGACCTGCCCACCGTTTGCATCCCAGCAGCCCATCCAGGGTAGCTGGGTGGCCCATTTGCCGGTGGCCACCACTTGCAGCTTCGCCCGGTCGAATTGCCAGTACTGGTCATCCCGAAAGAAGTAGATGAAGCCGTCGCGGTGGGTGAGGGCACCCGCCGTGCCAGGGGGCAAGCCCTCCCAGTCCCGCAGGCTGCGGGGGTAGTAGGGCTCCACGCCGAGGGTCTCCTCGCTCACCACGAAGTACTTGGGTCCTTTGAAGAGGACCAGGCGCCGGAGCTGCTGGAAGTAGAGCGCGGTGTCGGGGTGCCGTGGGAGGCCGCGGGCACTGCATTTCTGGGGGAAACCTGCCGCCAGGGTGGAGCCCATGTAGCACCAGCATCGGCCACCTGGGAAGAGCAGGGGAGAGGGGTTAGAGCCCACCCCAACGGGGTCCGTCGCAGGACCAGCTTCAGGAGACATGGAAGGACTCAGCCATGGGGCCAGCCTTGCAGCCCTAGACACGTGTCCGTGACATCCATCCCGCTGGTGATCCAACCGGCACCACTGTGGGGCTGCTCCCAGGCTGGGGGGGGAAACTGAGGCACAGTAGCTCAGGGGCTTGAAGGCACGGAAAGAGACTGCCAGGGACAGAGCAAGGCCACCACACTGTTCCCTAGTCTTTGCTGCTTCCTTGCAAACCTCCCCCTGTTCCTGCACAGCGAGCAGGACAGACAGACCCAGATCCCCCAGGGACTGGGACAACCGAGATCAGCGCTGCAGCAGCAGGAATTGCAACTGGGGCCGAGCGCTCGGCCATCCCCGCAGAGCCCTGTCCCCGCAGAGCCCTGTCCCCACGAAGCAAGCAGACAAAAGCCCCTTTCTGCTCACAAGCCACAGCCTGACCCAGCCCCGGGGAGGGAGGGAGCGGACGAGGGCTGTGGAGGGAGAGGGGCTTTTGGCTCTCACCCAGCCGCAGCAACAAAGCCCCCATTCTGATGAGCCTGCAACTGGTTTCCATTAAAGGTTGGGGCTGACCCTGGCAGCCAGGCTGCCTTCTTTGACCTTCCTCTACCCATCCGGCTGCGGCGTGCTGCCGAGCAGCTTGCGGATGGTATTTCAGCTCCCTGTGGCAGCTCAGCCCCCGGCACGATGCAGGGACCCATGTGTACCATGAAAACATCACACTCGTCTCAGCTCCCCTGTGGCCACACGTCTTTCGGGAGCATTTTCACCCCAAGAGCCCAAAGGGTTTGATACATCTGGTTTTGTTTTTAAACACAGGTGAGCGCCGCTCTCCTGAATGGGCTAATGAGGAAACTGAGGCACGAGGGGGTGATGCTGCCTGCCGGGATGATACACCCAAAGCCATACAATTAATCCATGGCAGGCAACAAGCCCAGGGCTCCTGCGGGTTTTTGCACACCTGGGACCCAGTGATGCCCCAGCTCTGTGCTGGGACGGGACCAGCAGGAGGGACAGGGGACGTGGGCAGGAGAAGGTGCCCCAGCCAGACCCGGACAGCCAGACCAAGCAGGCAGGAGCATCAGCAGCCCCAAGGAGAGCTCTCCTGCCTGTGCCTCACCTACCTTTGAAGAAATAAAACTTGCCACTGAGCTGGGACCAGGTGCAGGCGTCGATGCCAGCGGGGAGACCGGGCCAGCGCGTCTGCAGGGGCCGTGGGTCGCTGGCGTTGCCACTCGTGGGCACCACCCAGTAGTGGCTGCCCTTGAAGATGTAGAGGTTGTGATCCCCATCTGCAGGGCAGAAGGAGGAGTGAGGAATTCCCACATGAGAGGCGAGAAGCCTCATCCCACCTCCCACCCACCGCTCCCCAATTCCCCTCTCCTCCCCACACAGCTCCGCGGTGCTTCGGGGATGCTTGGGTTTCGGAGGCTCCCTTCTGCCTCTCCAACCGCCCTCTCAGCTTTCATAATTCATTGCCTCCACTCCAGCCCAGAGAGGATAAAAGCTGACCACAGCTCCCGCTCAAGGCTCATCTTTCACGGTTGAGCTCCCGCAGCGAATAAGCCTTGTCATGGCCCAAGTTTGAGGATGTTTTCCCCCTCCTAACACACCAAACCATCGCTGTGTCCTCGAGATGCACTCCACTCTGTGGCAGCAATGTGCGTCAGTGATGCCACCAGCCCCAGGAGCACATATGGGGCTGTGGGCCAGCCAAATCCACCCTTCCCACTACTGGAGCTTATCAGAGCAGAAACTGGCTGCTGCAGCACTGGGGTGAGGGGTGGGGTACGTGTTTCGGGAGATGGCTGTGCCAGCCAACACTCACCAGCGGTTATGGCGTCGAAGAAGGAGTGGCAGTAATAGGCGCTGAGGCTCCTTTGCTGCCGGTCCCCGTCGTAAAGGTCCGTGTTCCAGTCCTGGAAGTGAGTGAAGACCTTTCCCGGGAGCTGGATGGCCAAGCCTTTGGAGGGCTTCCCTGGGATGGAGCAGGGAGCAGTGAGTCATGGAGAAGGGGCAGGGAAAGGGCTTTCCCCAGAGCACTGTGTGAGCACAGGGCTGGGGAGCCATCCCAGGGCTCCAAACACTCCTTGTCCCGCTGCCTGGCTCCTGTCCCCCTCTATACGGTGGTGGAAAAGACCCCTCGGTACCCCCAAAAAACATGCACCAGTGTTTCCCTGGTTGCAAACAAGGGAACCAGGTCCAACCTCCCCTGCCCTGGAGGGCATGGTACCCATTCCACGTGCCCTGCTGCATCTTCCTCCCCAGCCACAAAAGGATGAGGCCCATCCCCACCGTGCCCCTTGCGCGTAGTCCTCTCCCCTTGCCCACTCCCATCCCTGCTCCTCGCTCTCCATCCCAGGGAACATCCCCAGAGGAACTGAGGGATGCTTGGGGAAGCCAGGCTCACCATACAAGTTCTGGACAGCCAAGATGTCATCCCAGCTGAGGACAAAATCCTTGCTGAGCTTCTTGTAGTAGGGAGACATCAGGGCACTCTTGACGGGGGAGTGCTCCAGCCCCAGCGTGTGGCCGACCTCGTGGGCCACCACGATGAAGAGGTTGCGCCCTTTGCCGCTGTGCAGGGACCAGCGCTCAGCGCTGTCGAAGTGGGCTTCTCCACGCCGGGGGAAGAAGGCGTGAGCCAGGGCACCTCCTGGGGACATGAGAGCCATCAGGGACCACGGGGTGGGAGAGGACCTCAGCCACAAGCCGAGGGGCAGGGGGCACGCGCAGCTCTGGTTTGCTTAAATAGGCATCGATTTTAGCTCTTTGGGAGGCCTGCTGAGAAAGAACAGCAGCTTCCCACGACTATTTCCCGCAGCAGGTGCAAGCCAAACCAGTTCTGCCTTCGGCTCCTGAGCACGGCAGGGGTTTGTCTGCTCTGTGGTTTATATGTTTGGTTTCTTGCTGGGCTCAGGCCAGGGACTGAAGCCACTGCATTGACCCATGTCGGGCAAAGGCTCAAGAAGAGAGAAAACCTGGGCTTGTCTGATAGTGGATAAGCAGAAAGACTCAGCTGGAAGGAATGAGCTCAGGTTTGGAGGATGCCATCAGGATGGGGAGGGCTCCTTGAAGACCATCAGCACGATCCTATAATGAGTAGCATCTCAGCCACCTCACTGGCAGACCTCAGTTGCAGAACTGGTAGTGAGGACCCCAAATCGGAAAGCAAACTGGTGCAAACTGGGTTTAGAGGGACTGCTGGGGCAGAGCCTTGCCTCCATCACCCCCAGCCCTCCTCCCTGCCAGGGAAGAGCCCACATTGTAAAAGAGAAGCTTACGAGGGGGAAGCGACCAGCACCTGGTCCATCGAAGGCATTGTTGAGTCCATCGTTGTGGTCTCCATGGAAGAAGGTCAGGCGGATGTCAGCTGGGCCATCCCGTGCCTCCCAAAACACCAGCGAGGACACGTTGCTCCAGAGCTCGAAGGCGGCTTTCACGGCCAGGCGCACCTCGTGCTGTGGCAGGTAGGAGGGCCAGTTCACCACCCGGTAGGTCAGGTGCCGCTTGTACCACCTCCCGCCTGCAAGAGGGGCAAAGCTCAGCACGACGATGGGGACGTGGACTTGCTCTTCCACCCAGGGGCTGCCGGGGTAGAAGAAAGCTTCCCAGTGCTGGGAAATGCCATGGCTTTCCCAAGCCGAAGCTGAAAGTCAACCCAGGTGTCCCACCAGCAGCAGGATCTGACCCATGAAATCCCTCCAAAGGTGCCACCACTAGATCCCACCCAGAGATTCCCAAGGCTGGACCTGCAACCAAAGCCTAAGAGAGGAGCCAAAACCTGTTTAAGGCGAGGAGAAGCTGGGGCACTCAGTTTGAACCCCCCCACCCCCTTGCCTCATCATGCTCTCCAGGGCCAAATCCAGCATGGGTCCCTGACCTGCAGGTCTCCTGCCTGATGCCAGCTTCATGCCCAGAAGATAAGGACTGGCTTTCAGGGAGAGAAAGCAAAGCCACCTCTGAAAACAAGTGGCCCAAAGGCAAAAGGAGAGGGAAGGGCTCTCGGCAGCAACTTGGGGGCACAACGGAACAGTGGGGAAGGAGGATGCAGGGTTGCATCCTGGTTAAGGCAGATTTGCCAAGAGCTAGGCACCAGCCAGAGGGGAAAAAAAGAGCCAATCCTCAAGGGGACACCAGTCGGGTTTGAAATACATCCCCAGGAAGGAATGGTACCGACTGCCATAAAGCACATGCTGATCTCCATCACATGCCCAAAGACCCCAGAGACATCCAGGGCTTCATCCAGCTGGCCGGCAAGCACAGGCAGGGAAGGAAAATGCCCGTTCATACCAGGGGGATCTGCAGCAGAGCCCTGCGGCTGGTCCCTGTGGTGCCTCTGCACCTTCTGCACCAAGCCCGAATGCTGCAGGGACACCAAAACCAGGGGGCCATGGGAGGTGTGTGTGCAGGGCTGGGGGTCCCCAGCACCCAAAGCTCCCTTGGTGAGAGGGGGGTCCTCCCTGTCTCCCCTGAACACCCTCCCTGAGGCCCAGCCTTGACTGCTTTTATAGGGAATCCCTTTTCTTTTTCCCCCGAATGTGTAATTTGAACACAGCAGCTACTGAGCCAAGGCAAGGAACAGACCAGCTCCCCTGTAGTAGGGCTGCCTTTTCACTGTTTTTAAGGACATCCTGACCATTTCTACCTGCAGAAGTTGTTGCCTGGAAGTCCAGCCAGCGATATCCCAGCAGGAACAAACTACTGCTCACCATTTATTTTAACAGCACCAAGGATCTTACTGCCCATGGCTTTCCTAAAAGCTCTTCTAAGGGAGACAGAGCCCTGATGCCACCAGGGCAGATGGTGACAAGGATGAAGGGGACAAGCCCATGAAATCCCCCTAAGCTCCCCACCCTCCTCCCACCACGCAGGAGTGCAAAGATATGTGTTCCTGCAGCCGCCACGCAACATCACAGCCCCCTCCTCCTCCTCCTCCTCCTCCTCCAGCACCCCTCAGCAGCTGTGGGGACCCTGGGGCCCCACAACTACATCTAGCCAGGGGTGTCTGGGAGCAGGAAAGAAGCCATGGGGCCACGCTGGGAAGATGCAGGTGCCAGAGCTGGTGCCAAGGCGTGGGAGCGGTGACAGACCTCCAGCGACTGCGCCTGCTCCAGATGTGCAGGGCAACAGGGGGAACAGAGCCGGCAGCACGCCTGGGCTCGTTGCTGTGGGTCTGAGCCAAGCTGCTCGGCAATCCTGGAGGACATCCCATCCCAGCTCTGTTTCCTTCTCCTCTGTTTCCGAGCAGCCCATGGCAGGGGAGGCTCTGGGCCAGCTGGTCGCGGTCCTTGGGGGCAGAATCGGTTCTCCCTGCTCATCAGTGCAATGACGGCCTCTGACTTAAAAGGGACATGGCTGTGCTTTCCACCAAACCCTGCACGGTAAAGGCTAAATACCTGCCTGGATGGCTGCAGTCCTAAGATAAAAAGCCCCGGCATCCCATCCTTCCCTCCACAGGGGCAGAGCATCTCCCACCGGAGGAGGATGGATGGATGGCACCAGCAGGCAGGGCTGGGGGAGGCAATCGTGGCCAGCTCTCAGGAAGAGGAGGGCTGGGTGCTGCATGGAGCCATTGAGCCGGGGACAATCACAGGCAGGAGTTCCCCGAGGGGAAATCCAGGATGCTGGCTGCCCGACATGCCGTCTGGCCAAGGACCTGCTGGTCAGCAGAGCTCCCAGCCAGCTCTGGTGCCTGGCAAAGCCCAGCAAGGCAACTAGAAGAAAGTCCTCTTCCCAGCGCCTTCCACTGCAGACCCCCGATTTCCAAACAGGACCTGTCCCCATATCTTCCCAGAGAGCAGAAAGCCTTGGGCTTTGACTGCAGAAGGGAAGTTTTCTTCAGAGGTGCAGAAAGGAGCGGACGGACTGGACCCCGTCCCACGCAGGGAGCCGATCTCCACTGCTGGGCTGGGACCGACCCCGGGAGCAGCAGGGGGGACGGACGCCCTCCCCAGTCCCACGCTGGCCACCACTGCTGGGCTAACTCCGTTGGGAGCCAAAGCTCAGCCGGGGTTGGCTTTGACCCACACGCCGGGGCGCGAGCGTGCCCGAAGCCGGCGGGATGAGGGACACAGCGGCTGCCCGGTGACGATCCTGCTGGGGCAGGGGTGGATAACAAAATACTTTGCCTGCCCGGCTGCAGCGGCTTCCTGCTTGGAGTCGGATAAACAGCCAACTTGGCACAAAGCCTCCGGCCTTCCTGGCCGGTGCCGCCAGCTGTGCGGGCATCCCCCCCCCAGCTCCCCCCTCCAGCCTGCGGGCACCGCTATGGAGTTGCTCCCATGCCCGCTGCCTGCTGGTGCTGCCGCCAGCTGCACCCCGGCTTGCTGCCACGGGGGATCCGCCGGCACCAGACCACCGGAGCAATAACCGGTGCCACACACAGCCCTTCCCTGTCTGGGCTCGGAGCCGCCGGGTGTCTCTTGCCACCCACCCGCAGACCACAGTCCCCAAAAAGGAGCCTTGTGAGCCAGAAGGCACAAGCTGCTTCTCTTTGCCCATCTCCTCCTGCATGTCCTTCCCAGCTCTGCCTCATCGGCCTCCTGCCCAGGGCATGGCAGACCCTCTGCCAGGGATGGCGCCTGCAAGGGCGACGCTGCATGTCAGGGTTTTTGGAATGAAAGCCAGAGGCAGGAGGAGGACGATGGGGCTGTCTCCTGGGGCCGTCCATCGCCAGCCCTGCCAGATGCAGAGACAGCCTGACAAGGCACAGAGCCCTTTCTTAATCTCGCCTTCATTTTTCCCATGTCCTAAGCACAGCTGGCCCCAGCCCTCTTGCTCTCTAGGAATCCAGTTACTCATCCACAAGCCCAGGAGGGTGAGACACAAGAGGCCCAATCCTGGCTACTCAGGAGCAAAAGAAGTCGCTTGGAGCAGAGTTAAAGCCCTTAATGTGGGTGAAACAACTCCCTGTGGCCAGGCAGCCCAGCACCAGCAGGTTTTGTGGCTACTGCCGGGTGACTAACACACGTTAGAAGTCTCAAAGGTCAGCAGAGCCTGGAGATAACTCCACTGTGTGCCAGCCCCTGCTCTCCGGATCATGCCACCACGGCAGTGTCCGGGGCCATGGTGATCTGATAGCTCCTCAGGAGATGTCCTGGCTCCCTGGACAGCAGTAAAACCACCCCGGAGGGCTGAATTGCCCCACGAGTAGGAGTTGCATCTCTCTAATCATTTCTGACATCAAGCCATACAGAACAACTAAAAATAAAGAGGTTTAAAAATAAAGCAGTGCAAAGCTCAGGCAGGTCCTGTACCAGCAGAGCTGCGCCTCCCATCCACAGCAGCATCTCCAGAAGCCCAGTTACAGGATGGAAGACTTGGACTACCAGCACCCCAGAAACCCAAACCCCACCGGCACCCCCGGCACCGACGCTCACCGTGCTGCGTGGTACGCCTGCGGCGCCGGGTGGCAGATGCCCGGCGTGCCCAGGCTGCGCGGCTCTGCCCATCGCCCGTGCCGCACCGCGGCAGAGCCATCTGATGGAGCGTGGGGGCATCCAGGACCCCGCTGAGCGGGAGGTGGGTCACCCGCTGGAAGTCCCTGAAAAAGGAAGGCAGACGTCAGCACCCACACCCGGACCCCTCCCGGGGGGGTTCTTCGATTGCGTTTGTGCCGGGTGTTTGACCTGAGCCAGGGCTTTCACCCAGAAAACTCTGTGCCCTGCCACAGGGAATGTATCTGGGTGATAAAACAAGAAGGATTTGGCTCTAAACCACATCTGACCAGCAATCCATCTCCTAGCAGGGCAAAAGTAGACAGGGGAGCCTAAAAAATGTCTTTCCCAGTTTTTAACCCCAGTTGTTTGACTTTGCACTTGACTTTGCGCAGGGTCAGACCAGGGACTCTCACAGAGCCAATGTGATCTCGATAAGAGACGTCCGAGCAGGGGTTGTCAGCTCGGCCCCCTGACATCTCCCAGCCGTCCCCAACCTCAGCCTCGCCACAGATATTATTGTAAGGGGAGCACCGGGCCATAAAAGGCAAATAAAGCAGCGCAGCGAGGCGTCGGGCTGCCAGCAGCCAGCTGCGGGAGCTGGGTACGGACCGGCGTTTCCAAAAAGGACTGGTTGTGCTTTATCATCAGACCGTGCCAGAGAGAGCCCCCGGCTGCAGAAAGAACTCTGCTGCTGCAAAAAGACCCCCCCCCAAGCACCGGCAGCTCCCACACAGCCGGAGTTTCTGCATTTCTGCTGCTGTTTTGAATAAAAGGCTCATACCTCACTGCCTCCGTGAACTCGGCGGGGCTGTGTGTGCCGGGCCCCGGCTCGCCGAAGTAGCCGTATTTCTCCAGGAACAGCTGCAAGATGAGACATGGGAGAGGCACAGCTCAGAGCACGGGCAGGCATTTGCACATGTTGGCTTGGGGAGGCGGGGGGAAAAGGAGATGCGATGGGAAACAGCGCAGCAAACCCAGGGCTGTGCAGAAATTCCCAGTTATTTTTTTTTCCTGAGAACTCTGCACCCCAAGCAGCCGCACCTCTTGTGCGTGCCAAGCCGAGCTGGTCTATATGTTTGCATTATGGGACTTCGGAAAACCTCAACTAAGCCCATCATTTTTGATGGCTCTTGGGTTTTTGGCCACGACGCAATGGAGGCGTAGGAGGAAACGTTGCTATCAACAGATCAAAAAACCCTGCTGCCATGTCATCCGCAGCCAGAGGCTACCAAACCCACTCTAATCACCTCAGATGCATCAAGGCAGTGATTAAAATAAAGGCTGAAGTGCTGTGGACACGGGTGGGGTGAGATGGGGTCAGGCTGCAGCCTCCCCCTATCTCCACGCAGGATGTGGTGCTGCAAAGCGGAGACACTCCAGGGGCAATCTGCTCTGCCAAACCATTCTTCTTCTTATCGGCCATTTACATGGACGGAGATTGTCGCTCTGAACTTGCTCCAACACATAAATTGCACGTTAAAGAAAATAAATGGTTTCCCTCTGCCCAGCCTGCGCCTCCAGCTTTTGGAGAAGTTAATAGCCACGGTCGCAGGAATGCTCCACACCCGCCTTCCCCGCCGCCGGGGATGTCTGCAGGAGACAAACAAGCCGCCCAGCATCCTGTTAGTGCAACAGAATCGGAGTTGAAGTAATGAGGAATAAAAAGTGAAAGTGGCTGCTTCATTTCCCGCATCCCAAAGGAGAGGTGGGCTGAGCACCAGGATCGTTATGGACTGTCTTTTAAAGCCTATTCCCTCCCTGCTCACCTGGGGGGTCACTGATGGGTAAGAGGGCAAGAAGAAGGGGGCTGGTGTCAACCTGCGCTCGATGCTGCTCCTGACCGACGGCAGCATCCCTTCCTGGGCATGGGCAGCACCGAGCCGGCCACACTTTGCCAGTTGTCTGGTGGGGAGTGGGAACAGTTTCTGGATATGGCAGCCCTGAGGTGCACCAGAGCCTCTCCCTCTCCTCCTCCTGCCCAAATCCTCCGCTTGCCTTTAACAGTCATCTTCACATCATCCCCAAACACGTCATCCTCTGCGCCCACCACCTCCCCACGAGCAGGGCAAGCACCTTCCATGTGCTCTCTGCCTGTTGCTCGCCCCTGTGGAAGCCCTCCCTAACCCCTTCCCAGACCTCAGCTCCTCCAGCCATGGAGTTATCTCCTCCTTTACACCCCTTCTACCTGGAGGATCCCCCTCCGGCTGCAGCACCACAAGGACCAGCACGGCTTCCTGCCAGGACACGCTCTTCACTCAGCCCCAGCCCAAAAATTTGGCCGTGTTTCCCACCGAACACTTTTACCAGCTGCCTACCTTGGCCAGAGGTAGCAGCGTCTCGTTGTAGCAGCATCGGGCTGCAGCAGTAAAAACCCAAGTGTGGTCAGAGTCACCTGGACACTGCACACCCAGTCCCGGTGAGTCGGGATAAATCAGGTGTGAGCAAGTGCTGCACTGGCAGATGAGAGCATCAGCTTGCTTATCAGACAAAGCCGCAACACCTCTGCCCGGGGATGGACCGTATAGCCTGGACGTGCCATCTCCCCAGCCATACGGGGATAACTCGCACCTTTACATGGGTACCAGGAGGCAAAACACAGCAGCAACTCGGGATGCAGAAGCAGGGAAGGAGGATACGGGGATGGGGGGAAACTCTTGGGGACAGGGCGGCATGGAGGTTTGGTAGCCCTGAGAGTAGTCTGGAGAGGAGAAGGTATCTGGCCCTCTTTCTCTGCAGTTGTGTTTTTGTAATGTTCTCCTCCAGAATTAGAAAATCACTAACCACATATATATGGATGTGGGGTGATAATCCCCGGTGGTTACATCACCATGGCTAAATGTGAGCTACAAAGCACCCAGACAGAAAGTGCCGGGTCTCAAATCGTGGCACAGTCTAAACTGTTTCCACCAAAATTTTGCTTTCACTCAGCATCTAAAATGTAACAACTTGAAGCTGTTTCCTCTCCTGTAACCTAACACAATCCCATTCTTAAAGCATGAAAATGTTTTTTCCCCACCATGATCTCACAAAGGCTTGAAACCTCATCTGGACAAGTCAGGGTGCGTGGCAAAAAAGCCACAGCTATTGCAGCAGCTGCTCTTGAGCAGCACCAAAATGTACGCAGGCCACTAGCTTTATTATTCCTGTCCAGATCTCCTTGAACTCTGCAAGTCCAACCAAAGCGGCAGTTTCCCTGTAGTTTCTGGCCCGTGTCATGTTGAGGTTCTTGCACAAAAGCATCAGCTCTCAGGCTGCAAAACCACCAGGAGCAAACTTATTACATTTTCTAGACACAGTTATTGGGAGCTCCAGGTGATGCCAGTCCTGGAAACACAGAGCTACAGGAGAGGGATGTGCTGATCCTCCACTGCACAAGGTATTTATCAGACAGCAGAGCATACAAAGTCCCCTGGACCAAAGGCTTTTCAGGGTGACAAGGGAACCCAAGAGCCCCATGTCACAGTGTCCTGTGCCCAAACTAATGCTGAAGACCCCCTCCAGCACTGCCCGTGCCCCACACACCCCCAGAGACTAGCCAGGCTCTGGTAGGGCTGGGTGGAAGCTGGCACCAGCCCGTTAAACCTCTCCAGAGGCTGCAATGCAAAGCCTGGCCGTGCTGGGAAAACTCCCTCCCTCCTGCCCCAGATGGGGAAATGCTGTTTTCTGTACAATGGGAAAAGAAAAACAGCAGGAAACCAAGAGCTGAGCATTAATATGAAATATGCCCAGCTCCCCCTCCGCTTGTGGGGAGGAGAAGAGAAAAGATCTAGCTGCCCGGGAGCCAGTGCCGTGGCAGAAATCCTTCGGGGCTGCAGCGGGGATAGCAGGAGGAGAGTTTGGGGGAGATGGAGGGGCCCTTCCCATCTCAGGGCTCTGATGTGGAGCTGGTTGCAACCCTGGAAATCATCTCTGCTGAGAGCTAAAGCCAAGGAAACACCTTGCCCTTGACCACAGGCATCCCAGGTGGAGGACAGCCAACAGCAAATACAATTAGACCTCCCTCCCTGGAAACTGGGATAACAAGAGGGCAGAGACAGCAGGCTCTGGTCCTGCCCGCCCTCCCCTCCAGACACTCAGCTTCTGGCACCTTCACCACCAGTTAAGTATCAGAGAAGCCTCACGTTGGCTCCCGTTGACCGTGGTCGCTTCTGCTCTACCTGGATACAAGCCCCATCTCTCCCCTCCATCCCCAGCAGCGGAGGGAAGCGATCCCGTCTTGCCGAAGGGTGGGCAGGCGCTTGGTGCTGTGGTTACAGAGGATGCTGGCCACAAGCTGCACCTCCAAGGTCTTTTGTTTTCAATCACGAGAGGACAGCAGCCCGGCATTTCACCACCGAGACGGACACGGGGGAAGCTGTAGCTCCCACATCTCAGCCTCAGTTTCCCCCTGCAACACGGACACAAGGAAAGCTGACGTTTGGGACGAGCATGTTTTGGCACGGCCACAGAAGGAGTGGCGGCTCCTCTTGCCCATCAGGTCACTGCCTGCCTGTCAGCTGCCGTCAGAAGATGTCAAAGCATTTAAAAACATTCATTTCTTTCCACTCTCCCAAGCCACATTCCTGCCTGCAGTCATAAACCCTTAGGCAGAGTCTTTGTGTCTCTTTTGTTTAAGTGTGCATATAAGTATCTATATAAATATTATATATATAGATACACAAAGACACACAAGAACGGAGATTAGCAAGTACAGAGCCTGGTTGTCCCCCGCTGAAAAGACAGCAAAACATAAGCTAATTCTGTATGTTAATGACGGAGGCTGGTTAAAACCCCAAGCCCTGTCTGGTTGCTGTGACGCTCCCCCGCTGTGCCTAATCCGGTCCTGAAGGAATCTCCTCTCCCACCTACCCCTCCTGAAAATCTGTTTTAGCTGGAAATTATCTACTTGCCACTGAAGATGTGGAGCTGGGGAAATACTGTGCCCAGCGCCTTTTAAGCTCCTTTACTCTTCACATTTTATCTTGAGCTGAGAAGCAGGGGCAGCAGGCCAGGACTGTAGCAGGTCTAACTAAAACCCCTCCTGGTTTCAGTAACACAGATCTTTGAGATGCTGAACTGGACCTAGCTCTCTGCCTCCCCATCTGCCTGGACAGGAGGGATGCTACGGGACAGGAACAGCAAATATCGCATCACTTGAAAGGAAACAAAGGCCATGAAAGTCCCTGGGCTTGGTGTTACCTGCCTGCGGGGCTGGCAGATCGCTGTGCTTCCTTGTGCGTTAAATACAAGAATATCTCATCAGCAATTACTACGATTCGCTCCTGCCTTTGAAACCAGCTCGCAGCTTTGCCCCGGCACCCCAGGCACCCCACACCCTGGGTAGCGATGGGCTGCACCACCCAGCCACAGCTCCAGCAGCACTGAAACTACCCGAATGCAACCCAAAGCACTTGGGGAAAACAGGGGAAAACACTGGGCTTGGCCAAACCTTCCCCTGCAAATACCAGAGCAGCTGACAAACCAGTTTGGTCACGCAAACTGGTTGTGCTTTCACGTCTAAGGAGAGAAAGGAAACAAGATGCTTGGTCTTCGCCATCCATCGGGATGGGAACCGGCGGGGGGGAAGGCGACGTGCCCGCTGCCAGCAGCCGCCGGCCCCTTGCCTGGCAGGCGTTATTCGCTGTAACAAGTGGGGATTGTTCAGGGGGAGAGCCGGGAAGAAAGTGGGGTTGTTCACGCTGCGGTGACTCACGGGGCTGTTAATCACACCGGAGGGCCGCCGGGTGTCTTGGAACCACTTGCCATATCCGCGCTACCGGCAGCAACTCAGAGCCGTGATCTCATGGGTTTTACACGCTCTCCGCGGCCACGCAGAGCCCGGCAGTGCCTCAACAGGGGTGACGGCACCTGAATAATTCCTCCTCCTCTCCCCCACTCCTTGCATTGCCCTGCTGAGGCTGAACAGCAGGGATTTTTCCCAAGAAGAAGGTTTTCTTCCTCTTATTTCAATCAGAGGGAAAATGTGGGGGTGTGCCGGGAGCATGAGGGGGTCCCAGCTGACCCCCAAGCCCCACCATGTGCTGGGTGGTACCCAGAGACCCTCGCTCCGGCCAGGCTGTGCTCAGCATCCAGCATCCCAACTGGTTGCCTGCTCCGTAAAGGAGCTCATCTGGACACCAGAGCATTTCTCAGCACAAATACAGCTCAGAGCCTACGCTAAAATGCAAGCCCTTAGTTGCTGAGGGGGAAAAGTCAGAGGCCACGTGCTACTGCAAAAGCGGGAGAAGGAGGGCAGCATAGGAAAAAATAAATAAATAAAATCCAAAATGGGAATGTCTCGGTCCCTGAGTCCCACTCTCCATTTCCATTCCCTGCTTTTCTCAATTTTCTACCCAATTTTTCTTCTAATCACAACAGACCTGTATCTTCTCATGCAAATCACTACAGGGACTTTATTGTCCTTTGTCCTTGGCACCACCAGCACTCGGTCACGCTCTTCACTCCCAATAAGGGGTGAAGTCTCACGTGCCGTGTATTTTACACAATTCCCCCGGGATCAGGGAGACTCGGGCATTACCACACACCCAACTGCTGTCCTGAGAGCAGCCCAGCCAGAGACCAGGTCTGCCAAACTACGTGCTATCTAGTATTGGACCTCCTCCTATCTGGGGCCCGCAGATAATAAGATGATTTAACATACAAATGTTTCAGATTAAATTTCCAAACTTTCCTTCTTTTTGGGGGGGGAAGCTGCAGTTGATACGAAGGCAGTGAAAACAAGGGCACAAGCCAGGAAAATAACACAACTGGACATTTTCTCAGACTTTTGCATCTAAGTTTACACAAGCTATTGTTGCTAACTTTGGCTATTTTAAAAGCATTAAAAACAGCTTTAGAAGCAAAGCCTGGCAGCGGTCTAAAAGCCACAAGTAACTAGAACTATTTGATGTTACGTGAGAATTTCAGCTTTCTCTTAAAAGCAAAATTAACTGCTCCGTTTATTTAGACAAGCTTTCTTACCCCAGTCTCCATACATTTCCATTGTGTGCATTGTCCCACAGTCCCTGACCAGCGCAGCACATCGCACTGGGGAAACTGAGGCAGGGAGACAGGAAAGTCACTCGCCCAGCACCCCTTGCCTGGGATCTGCCACAATCCTGGGACCTGCTCTGAGGCTTCAAGGGAAAAGTTCTCAGAAGTCACCAGTGAGGAATCAAAAGGCAGACTGGACCTTTTAAAGCTCTTGCCCCCCACAATGAGCTGGTTTTATTTTTAAACTGAATTTTAAATTATTGATTTTCTGAGCATTAAGAACTTTGCAGATTTGTTTTTCTCCAGGTGGCATGATGGGCCGGGCTGAGGTTTGTGCACCCTGGGACAAGCACACGTATAAATCACCTCTTTGAAACTGCATCTCCCAGCATGAAAAGCCTGCACATTGAAACAAGCCTCGGAGCACTGATGTGCACTTTTCCTCTTACAGCATGTGAAAAATCCCAATTGATCCACCAGGACTGGCTGGGGTTTTAAAATCAAGCCTCTGTGCAAACGTACACCACATCGATGCCTAAAGAAGAAACAAATCCCTGATGTTAACCTTTGTTCACCAGCCAAATCTCATACCTCGTCCTCCCAAAACAAACAGGAATGGCTGGCGGCATAGCATGACAACGATACGGGGACAAACAGAAGAAATCCAAACAGAGGTGATGGGGACAGCCCCGGTGAGAGGCAGGGCAGGGGAAAGGCTGGCTTTCGTCCCCTCCCGACTCGCGGGGAGATGGGAAGGTTTCCCAGTGCGAGACTTCTATTGTTGTCAGAGCTATATAGGAGGAGGGGTGCAGATGTACATCACCTATGGGCGCACGCCTCCGTCTACGACACGCGCCTTGACACCCCAAACGCAACCCTACGGCGCGGGCCCATCTCGGCGCGCACGCGCCTCCGCCACGGATTCGCGGCCGACCCGCGCACGCTCTGCGGCACGCGGGGCTCGCCTTCGCCA